TTGGCACCTACTCAGCCTTTGGATCTGAACTTTGGATTGTCTCTTGTACCACCATCATCTTCGGATATTCCACTGCCTACTATGTTACCATCTACTTTATCTCTTCATGTATACCCTCGTTGTCCTCGCTCATCAACTGAGATGCCCATACCGTCTTTCTTTTTGTCTTTTAATCCTGGTACATCAGGTAATTTAAACTCTTTATCAATTGCTCTTTGAAAATGTACTCGTTCATGTGTTACTAATCATCTCATTGCTCATTTTATTTCATATGATGCCTTGTCTCCTTTCTTCTCTTGTTTTGCCTCTCAATTATCTATTATATCTATTCCTAAACACTTACATGATATGTTATTTAATCTAGGTTGGAGGAAAGCTATGGAGGATGAGATGAATGTCTTATATCATAATGGGACTTGGGATCTCGTTCCTTTACCTCCTGGTGAACGAATTATTGGTTATCGTTGGGTGTATACTGTTAAATTTTATTCGAATAATTCTGTGGAGCGTTTCAAAGTCTGGCTTGTTGTAAAGAGCTTTTCTCAGACCTATGGTGTTGATTATGAGGAGACTTTCTCTCATGTTGCCAAAATTTTCTCTATTCGTATCTTAATTTCTTTGGCTACTAATCTTGATTGGTCCTTGTTTCAGTTAGATGTCAAGAATGTCTTCATGTATGGTGACTTGGTTGAAGAGGTATACATGGGACAGCTACCTGAGTTTACTTCTCAAGGGGAGTATGGTAAAAGTGTAAGTCGGTTAAAAAAATATTTGTATGGTTTGAAGCAGTCACCGAGGGCATGATTTGGTAAGTTTTCAAATGCAGTTTTAGAGTTTAGTCTTCTTCGATGTCAGATAGACCATTTTTTGTGTTTCATTGATAGGCGGATGCTAGATATGTTCTATTGGTGGTCTATGTAGATGATGTTGTGATTACTGAAAATGATTCTGAGGGGATTGCCTAGTTAAAAATATTTTTATAGGATCGATTTCATACTAAGGATTTGAAAAAATTCAGATATTTCTTAGGTATTAAGGTGGTTCAATTTAAACAAGGTATTTGTTTATCTTAGAAAAAATATATACTTGACATACTAGAGGAAGCAGGTTTGCTAGGTGGCAGACAAATTGATGTTCCTATGGATCTGAATCAGAAACTATTGATGGATGATGGTGTACTGTTTGAGAATCCAGGTTGGTATCGCAGATTGTTTGGGAATCTCAATTATCTCACTATTACTTGACTGGATATCTTCTATGTAGTCAGTATAGTAAGTCAGTTCATGAGGTGTCCTAGAGTACCATATTGGGAGGCAGTTACTCGTATTTTGCGATATCTCAAACGTGCTCTTAGACTTGGATTGTTATATCGAGCTAATTGACATCTTAGAGTGGAAGGTTTCTTAGATGCTGATTGAGCTGGCTTTCCTTCTGATTGTAGATCAACCACTGGTTATTATACTTTCTTAGGAGGGAATGTTGTCTCATAAAAAACTAAAAAACAATCTGTGGTAGCAAGATTCAGTGCTGAGGCTGAGTATAGGACAATGACGCATACGACGAGTGAATTGACTTAGCTACTACATTTTCTCCAGGAAATTAGATTTTCAGTTCAACCTCTTTTACAGTTGTTTTGTGACAACCAGACAGTTATCCATATCGCTGTCAATCCAGTGTTTTACGAGAGAACCGATCATATAGAAGTTGTTTGTCACTTTATCGAGACAAGATAGTAGCTAAAGAGATTAGGACTCCATTTGTGAAATTTGAAGATCTATTTGCAGATATGTTTTTCAAAGTATTGAGTCGTACACGCCAACAATTTGTTTCAAACTTAGATTATATGATATATATAGTCCAACTTAAGGGGGAGTGTTAAGAGTATTATTAGGGTATTATGTATAAATATAAGAGGGTGTATTCGTCTTTCTTATTATTGTAAATTAACTATAAATACAAATTATGTATAAGAGGTATGTTAAGTTTGACCACTCTCCGTTTCTTCTAATATTGTGTTAATTCTCTCAATTTAACACAATTGAAGGAGGTGGTACTTAATTCATAAAGTTTGCAATAATTTCACGAAGTCCCTCTACTATGAAGTGATTTGCAAAATAAGGAGTTAAAAGTGCAAAACTAAGTTTTTTTTGGGGGGGGGGGTGTTGGAAAATAAACTTGTTTAATGTTTTAATTTGGTGTGTAGTAATAGGCATGAAATATGCAAGTAATGAAAGACAAAAGTATTAGTGGGTGTTAATTCTCTAAGTAATGGTGTCTTAATATTATAGAAGGTACAAGAGTTAATAAGTGTAATAGTACCTACATATAATGGTATGAGTTGTTTGTATAACCTATATAAATAGAGTATATAGTCTAGTGTTAGATGCAAGTAGAGTTGAGTAGAAATTGAATAGTTCAAGTTGAGTGTGTGATTGTAATCAACTTTTTTAACAATTATTTTTTCTTTGAGTATTCATATTCTCCTCTATGTCCTTCCATTTCATTACTAGTCTTCTTGACTCTAATAAGGTGGTATTAGAGCAATTTTCTTCTTGCAGTAATTCCAACACAAAAGTGAAAAGAGAGAGAGAGAGAGAGAGAATATAAAGGAGACTCCTCAGTCACTCGTTCAATATACCCATTTTTCTCACACAATCAAACAGTTCAATTACAAGGACCCAATTTTGCACAGAAGAAGATCAAATCAAGAACACTACATGAATGTTACTACTACGTACCTTCCTCTCCAAAGCGTTGTTAGCCTCAAGCCACATTTTTTCCTGCGGTTGAAGAATAGAAAAGCATGTAAAACTGAAATAATTTTTTTTTAAATTCCAAAATGTTGATACCTTGGCTTGAAGATCAGAAAGCTGATCGAGCATAAATTGGGTCTGCAAAACATGGTTACAAAAAAAAAAAAAAAGATAATAATTGTTCCGGTGAACAATCAAAGACAGTTATTGTAACGATAAAGTAATAGAACTTCAATAACATCTCACATAATTAAAATAGTTCCCAAAAAAATTGATGATTTTAATAGTCTCTGATGATTTGCATCTCATACACACGCATTGCTAAACACAAATTGTTCAGTTCTTTCTGACTATATTTTATGTTATTCCACCCATTTCAAAAAATATTCGGCTCGGTTTAACAACAGCTACCCAATGACTAACCGAGTTATAAGAAACGTCCAAATGCTTCATGCCACGTATTATATCTACCAGAAAAGTGGTTCGAACATCCACCAACAGAGGGTTCACTTATGACAAGGGAACAGACATTGGCTGAAATAGTAAAACTACTTTGTGGCATTAATGAATTTGCTATATACAAAAACAAAGTTCTTTTGCTTAGTCAAAACACCAAAATTTGTCTCAGTTGAAACCAGATATCATCTGTTGAGAATGAAGAAAGAGCTAGTCAATGTAACTAGGATAAACAGTCTACCGTGGCTCACTGACAATACTTTTTTTTTAACAGTTATAGTGTTCGGACTAATGTACTGTGTATTTTGACAAATTTTCTTCTCGGTCTGATTAAATTTAGGTCATTCACATTGAAATTAAGATATTCGTAAGGGATAAATCCTTTATAGACTGGTTACAAAAGGTTGTAGTAATTCAAATTTCTAACTTTTGAATTTCCACTTGAACTACTTTGGAGTTATACTATTTTTCTTTGTTAAACACACTACTGCCCCTAAAGTATGAAGTATAAGTCCCATTTCAAATTATCAAGATTCAATTTTGCCAAAAATTCCCTAAGTTATTAAGGTATGACATTTGGCTTTAAACCTTTGAAGCTTTCCCAATACATAGTTGAATTCTGTCGCGTGCTCAGTTCATGAAGTATGTTTAAAGGCTTTGTTGGAAAATATGTTAGACACACTATCGTCTTGAGTGAGTCTGCAATACAAAAAAAAAAAAAAAAATCATTGCAGTACTGAAAATTACAACCTTTAAAGGTCAAATTACATGTTTCAAGAGTCAAGTTACAATTAATTGTGATTATTCATGATCTACCACACATGTCTTGATTGTTCATAGAATGCTAGGATTGATCATAATGTTTTTGAAATATAACTTAATGTTCTAAAATTATAACTTTACTCTTAAAAGTTGTATTTTTCTGTATAGTGTATGGTACCTCTTTCGGTACCATAATCTCACCCACCCAGCCCCAAAATATATGTTCAGTTTCATTAAGATCCTTCGTCTTTCCATAATGCAAATGGATCCCCTACATATGACATTTAATCTTAAATGGTCCCTAACTAAGGGGTCATTATTAGTTGTCATCTGAATAAGTTCATATTTTTTGAGTTTTTAGTGAGTAAAAGTTCAAACATTTGTACCAAAAGGGGGAACATTGTCCGATTAATCTTCATCTCAAGTCTCAAGTTTCTTAGCACTTCATTGCTCCAGGAAACAAGGCACTCAACCACCGTATTCCTTCATTATTATGCAAACCTTGAAAAACAGTAACGTGTTTCCACCACGATAGTCGGTGCAACTTTCTAAATTTAGTTTATTTACGTACCTTTGTAGACCTTATATGCTTCAATGATGTGTCCAGTTGATGCTCAAGATGTTCAAGATCCTTCATATTAAGCGGGCCCAAGTCTTCCCCGAGAAGATGCCTACAATATGAAGGTTTATAACTGTATGACTATACTGTGTGGAGTGAAAACATGTCCAACTCCAGTAATCAAGTCAATTACCTTTGATATCGTTGTAGTGACTCATATTTGGCTTTCAGTTTTAAGTACTCATTGTAGCTGCTTTGCTATATAGGTCATGATAAGGAGTAAAACAATGTCAAATATCATAAAGTCAAAACGAACAAAACACAAAATAGAAAATCCGACACTGCCATTGAAACAATCTTGGTCACAATCCCATGAATCGGATAATAAGCCCTGAAATCTCCTGAATTTCAAATCTAGTTTGTGCTAACTGTCGTAATTAATTATAAGTTAGAGACGCGAGGGAGAGAAATTAAGCTACCTCAATCTCTCTGGCTGAAGTGCTGACTTCAAGTGTACCATAGCTGCATTTTTGGTACCTCTCCAGTGTCTTGAGCATGCTGAATTTCAGTCAATGAAGTGTTCCATTAGGCAGCTAATGGTATATGGTCAGTGAGAACTGAGAAGATGTCCCATGAAGACATGGGTCAATGGTGAACTTGGGGTTTTGAGCTTAGTGCAGAAGCCGGATTCAGTGTATAAGGTAATAACATTTGCAAATTTAACTATATTGAATACTTATATATCGTGTTCAAAAAAAAAAGAATTGCTTATATATATATATATTAAAGAATAGACACTCTTTAGAAATCACAAGCTGAACGCTGGAAACACTGGCAGAACTTATGTGCAGAATAAGCACCAGAATGGCAAAACATTGAGAGAGATGTACTGATAGCATGGCAAAATGATTTTATTCTAAACGATGTATCGTTTACTATCAAAAAGCAAGTTAGGCATACAGATACATGCCCATATTGTCTCTTTCCCCTAAAAAAGTATCAACGAATGAATTCACACTTCCTTTGAAATAGATTTATGAAAAAAAAAATTCTAAACAAGTAAACATACTTGTAGTTACAAGATTCATTGATCTTACACATTCTGTATACTATGATGCTTAGAGTTCAAATACTTTTACATGAAGAAGACCAACATTGACATTGTCGACCGATTTCTCTAGCTCATCATCTGAGAAACAATTTAGAGTAAATTTTTTAAGACAAGCCTTACAAATTGCTTCATTGAGCAAACATAATGGAGTTAACTTGGTTTTTTCATGTTATATGGGCTTTATTGTTCACATTCCGTTTTCTTTACATATGATCAGCTTTAAACTACAGGAGTGAACGTCTTTTATGGCGATCAGTGTTTATCTCTATGATACATGAGAAATTAAAACTTGATGTAGCAAACAATTAATGATCTTGGAAGAAGATATTAGGCACACAAAAACAATATGCAACCAAAGGAATAAAGTCACAGCACTAGGAAAAAAGAAGCAGCAACTCAATTAAATCAACAAGCCTTAATATTATAACCTACTTGAAGAGTCCAATTCGAAAGTGCCTTGGTTCAAGCTTGTGTGGTTTAAGCAGGCAATCCCTAGAATGAGTTTTATCATGTGGATGGCTATTAAAGGAAGACTGAGCACAAAAGATAGGATTCAATTATTCAATCCTAATATGGGAGTTGACTGCATTCTTTGTAGAGGGGCTACTGAGACTCACTCACTCTCACTTGTTATTTGGAACAAGCTAATGACTATGTGCTCTCAAGCTTGGCAATATAGATCCGGGACAGAATTTATTCATTGGGCTACACCACTTTGGAAAGGCCAAGTCTTTAGTGACTGTGTTAAAGAAATTAAGCCTTCATACTACTGTCTATAGGGATGTTCAAATTTTCGATTAGCCGTAATATTCTACCCTACTTAATTCTACCCTACTCTAATGAGCGGCTAACCGCAAAAATTGAGTAGAAATGAGGAAGAGTTTTTGGTCTTCCTATTAAATTGGTTAGAAATGCGGAATACTCCTTAATTTTCGCATTCCTACCCTACCCTACCTATCTGCAAATAATATATTTAACTTTTTTATATTTTTTTTAGTAATTATAAGAGTATTTGTGTGGTATAATTTATATTATAACATTGTTATTATTGTAGATGTTTGAGTTGTGAAAACATAGACTTATTTTTTGTGTAAGTTACATGATATGTGGTGAACTGGTGATCTATTGGAGCAGTTATAATTTTAATGTGTTTCATATGGTTTAAATTTAAAATAATTTTTATTGTATTTGTGTAACAATAATGATGGATTAATGTTCATGTTTTCTTATATTGTAATTGTTGTTGTAGTTGTTTTAGGTTTTAGTGTTATTAATTTATTGTGTTGTTAAATTGATGCATGTTATTTAATTGAATTGTTAAAATGATCCAAAAATTAATAGCTACAAAAGTGTTAACCCGAATTTCTACTCGATTAATCGGGTAGGAAGTCGGATAGGAAGACCATGCCTGAACGGGTAAGGTAGACAAAAAAAAAATTCCTCCGCAAAGTGTTAGGTAAAAAGATTATATTTCTTACCCGTAGGGTAGAGTAAACACCCCTAACTGTCTACTACCCACGGAGGGAGAGGAATAACAGGCTCTTCAGGAATCAATTCATGGACCAAGACTCAACACTACACGGTATATTGCAGGTCATTAGGGACAGAATGGCTTCACTGAGATTTGAAAACTGTCCACAAAGCCAGCAGGTAGCAATGCAATGGCAGTTATCAACTCAATGCCTAAATGCATAGAGTTTGCGACAAGGGTAATGGGCCTATTCATGTCTCCATCATCTGGTGATTTCTTTCCTCCCTATGACGTGAGGTGACTAAGGTGACTGCTGAAGCAATTGCTTGTGTGCCATGAAAGGGTTTTGGGTCAAAAGATGCTCCATTGAAATAGGATTCTGCTGGAAATATTGGCTCAAGGCTTTTATTTCCCTCAGAATTCTGTCTCGAAGAGCGTTTTCTTATTTTTTGTGGTACACTTTTGCTACACTAGGCTGAGCCTAAAGTATTTTGTCAAAGGCGAGGCCTCTTAAATACATTTTATGGTTTCTTTATACAATATTTACCTTCCGAAAAAAAAAAAAAAAAACTACTTGAAGAGAGCTACTTCGATCTATGTTCTTCAATTGGTGTTTTGGTAAGGAATATATTCAGAAATAATCAAGGTCTCAACGAGGTCACAAAATTTATTCCCTTTTTAAAAAATGAGGAAACGTGGAGAATATGTTCAAATATTTTTTCTTAAAAGATAAGGGATTTGAACGTTTAACTCAAAACTTTTTTATCCGAAAATCACCTCAAAGCTAGAGAAGTCTATTCGAAAGGTAAATCACTTACACATATAAGTAGTACGAGGAAAATAATAGATAAAAAAAATATATGTTGACAAATCCAAATTGTGTGTTTGAATTTAAACATCAATAAAATGTTGCGAATTTACTATGCATACCCTAGTCAACACAGCCAGTGTCCTATGGCAATTTTAATTGTAGTAGGTTGTCAAGTCCATTCTGAGATCACACAGCGGACCATCAGAGATTAGATGTCCTCCTTAAAGTTCAGGAACTCCCTCTTATAACCAGCATTCTAACTCAGAAGCTTGATTATTGTTGGGGAATCTGTTTGGTACGACTATAAAATCAATGAAATTTTACCTTGTGAGAAAATTTATTGTTGGTTACATATACATGGAAGATGCATTAATTGTTGGATTGTTGGTGAATTCTGCTTCACATTAATTTGATTGTCAAATGAATGATCCTTCTTGGGTTGAAGAACAATAGCATAATACAAATTATTATGTATGTAATTAAAATCTGAAAAACAAAGATAAAACAAAGAAAGAGTACCAGTGTCCTAATTAATCCGTTTTACAACTGCAGTTGTTTCACCATTGAAAAATGTGGGATTTCAGGTTCCAAGAAGGATTCAGGTAGAAAGACTTCCTCTGGCTGTGCCTCCAAATTACATGTTCTCTTTCAAGGATAAAAGAAGTACTGTATGGTCATATCAGACTTCTAAACAAATTTACAGTTATTTAGAAAAAAGGAGAACTCCTCCATCCTGATTGCTGCTTACATAATCTCTCTCTCTCTCTCTCTCTCTCTCTCTCTCTCACACACACACACACACACACAATTTATCTTTGGATTAGTATTTGCAAGCTAAAAAACTGCATCCACTAACTTTTTATCGTATATGATCGGATAGCTTCAATAAGAACCCAAAAAATTATATAAATGATAGAACATAATAGTATGGATCAAACTAAGGTGTTATGAAATATTCATAGAGTTTTAACAGAATATTGTTTTGTGGGCAGAAAAAAAAGTTATAGAAGCCCTCAATTCAGTTTCTTAAATGAGAAAAAACTAAATTAATTCAATGGAAAGAAAATCAAAGGATTGCTTTTTGGTAGGAAAAAAGTCTGTTTTTTGGAAAATAAAATAAAATAAAAGAGAGTAGAGAGGAAATAAATGGGTCTGACAATATAAGAGTCAGATGAAGATCGGCAGATAAAAACCTAATGTTGGCCATGTAGGAAATTACAAGAAGTCAATAACAAGAAAAGAATAGAGTGCAGTTGAACCTTAGCCTCATCAAAATGCATCAATTGATATCCTAACATTGAAAGAGTTGAAAATTGAAATACACAAATAGTAAAGAAAACTTTGAAGAAAGATCCAGCACTATCTATGCAAGCAACATAACAACAAAGCAGAACAATTAGAAGATCTTATATATGTACTGTGTCAGTGTGTGCGTCTTGCTAGAGAGAGAGAGAGAGCATACTTGGAGCTGCTACAGAACTCGTAGAGCTTTCCACGGTTAGAGAAGACGATAAGGGCCACTTCAGCATCACAGAGTACTGAGAGCTCATAAGCTTTCTTGAGCAGCCCATTCCTTCTCTTTGCAAATGTTACCTGCCTATTTATTTTGTTCTCTATCCTCTTCAGCTCCACTCTTCCTCTACCCATCTCTTCTTCTTCTTCTATGCTTTATCTCTGCAAAATAATCTTTAAATATATATATATATGCAACGTTTGTATATTCCTTCTTCTCTTCTTTCTGCTCTTAGCTACCTGTTGATCTTCTTTTTCTGAGAGAGTATATTAATGTAACCAAATGAACGAAAGACAAAAAGATTGAAACTGGAAACCCTAGAGAGACAAAGTTCAGTGTTTTTGCTTTCTTCTTTCTTCTTATAATTCTCTCTCTCTTTTAACCACAAGATTAGCATCTGAACCCCTAACCAGACATCAAACTTAGGGTTGGTGTTCTTTCCACTTTCGAGCTTCACGTTTTTGACTTATCCCACTTGTCATTTAGCGCGTGAATAACAATCTTACAAGAAACAAGGGAGACACAAAACACGCGACGTGTTGGAGCGTGAGGTAGTGTATCCTAAGCATTTCACTTGCAATGTCGTCAGAAAAATATCGGAACGTCGACACCAACCTTAAAAACGAGTATCTACGTGTCCGATCATCAGTGGCTAATTGACGTATATATCAATTGACATTATAGTACTTTTTTGATTCAATCGAGGACATCATTTGCTAATTCAATAAATTAATTTCATTAGAATCAAATACTAATGAAATAATCTAATTTCATTAAATTAGCGGCGAGTTTTATTAGTGAATTAGATAACGATGGTTCGCGTTAGCTAATTTTATCATTAAACTAGAATACAAATGTCATTATTAATGACATTATAATTTTATTCTTGATTTTGTTCACTTTTTTTTGTAGTAATATTGACCAGCATAGTTGGATGGGTTACTAGAATTAAGAGAACTACGCGAAACTCACTATCACTTAAATTCATAATAAATAATTTATCATTCAAAATACGCATGATCTAAATCCCATTAGTTTACGCATTCTTAGTGTATAAGTTTACAATCACTCTCTTATATTCTTTTGAATCTGTATTTCACTTGAATTCGTAAAATCACTATGATATATTTGTGGTGAATTAGAGGTCTAATTATTGTACCAAAAAATTAATTTTTGGTACGACAAAAGTAATGAATATTGTGGAAAATACCAATAAAGAATAAGAAAGAACGAAATTCCACAGGAAAAAGCATAGTTGCATCACGTGTATTCCCATGTCGAAAGATAAGAAAGGAAAGTCTTCTCTTCAATCCAAAGTTTGGCACCTATAGGCTAACTACCATTTTGAAACCATAGTCTACAAGAGTACGAAGAGCTAAACGACAGTAGCTTTAGAGTTGATAACGCCGTGCCTGTTATGTCTAAATTGTATGATTATAATATTCATGTCGTGCATAAGTTGTGCATTACCGTATTGATATCGACCATGGTTCAAGTATCGACATCGGCCGAGTCAGTATTCAAATCAGTACCTTTCAAGGCAATACCGTTGTATGATATATTATAAATTCTGAGTCTCGCACGACTCGAGTATCCAAGTCAATCTCGAGTAGGCGAATTATTATCGCTAAATCGGCTGACACAGTTCTATGACGTCATTGTATGATTTCAATCTCTCTTCATGTTCAACATTTTTTTTATGTTATATTGCTCGATACCATGTCGAGACACCGAAACCGATGTACATCAGAGCTCTTCGAATCATGATTCAAGGTCGCAGTATCAGTTATCAATTCAGAGAGTTCTAACACACATCGGTTACGGCACAATATCAGATGATACGACCTAAAAGAAAATGTTGAACATGACGAAAAATTCAGGTCATATCGTAGCGTCATAAAACCATATCGGTCAATTCAATGACGATATTTCAACAACTCGGGATTGACACGAACGGTTCGGATAAATTGTGCGAGATTTAGAGTTTATATGTATCGTGTAATGGTGTCGTCTTTGAAAGTGCTGAAAAATATACGACTTAACTAACTCGTATCAATATCGACCAATACTTTGAATCATACTCTAAATCGATAGATGATACTAGAAATTTGAACCACTGTAGACAAAGAAAAACAATTGAAGTGTCGAGAGAGAGAGAGAGAGAGAGGTCTGGCTCTGGCTCTGGCATGCAATGAATGACATGTGAAAGAAACAACTTCCAACTTCCCTAGGGTGTGTGGTGCTGGTGCCAGAGAAGCCACCTAGATGCTTCCTACTTCTGCCTATAGCTACTGTACTACTCGACCAATTTTGGTTCAACATAGATCGAGTTTCATTCACACATCAAACTATGTCTGTGTCCCATCCAATTCAATTGAGTTTCATTAACACAAATCTCGTGTTTTTGCTTTCAATCTAGTTTGTTGCTTTTAGTCCTCGCTCAAAGACAGGGCTATGGACCCAAGGTCGGCCCAATAGCCACCACACCTCTATTATTTGCGGGCTCGATCCTCCTTATTCCCTCGTCATGTAAATTTATTCAAAAAAAAAAAAAAAGATGGCAGTTTTTGTTCAAGGCAAGTGCAATTTTGTGTAGAGTAATGCTATTGGCACATAATTTTCTAACTTAATTTGTTGACCTAATTTATTATGACATTTGAATTAACTGCGGATCCTATCAAACATTGAAACTTGATGTTAATCTAATAATTTTAATGAACCCACATCATTAAGTCCATAAATTATATTAAATTTTTAAATATAAATAATATTACTCTTTTGTGTATCAATAAAAGTCTCGAGGATTAATTGGACCAGGTTTACTATGGCTGTCAAGGAAGGTTTGTGGGCTAAGCAATTGATTTGTGTGTCCGAAAAATAATGGGCCATGGGTGTATTGGTGGATCAACTAATAAGCCTTTCTTGGGTATCCATCAAGGAACAATTGCATAACTAGGAGGATCGTATTATGTTAAAACTTGGTGATGAAATCTAAATCTTAAAACACTTCATGGATATTCTGCAGTTGATGATGGTTCAAATTTAAAACTTAAAAGCATTGCATTTCGTTACGCAATTTTTAAATGGGGGAAAAGCCTTTTCCATTTTATAACTGTTGTGGCCATATAATTTTGAGGGCTCAGGTTGTGGCACTGAAAATTAGCTGTAAACTTAAGTTAACTCTAGTGATCATAATATGAGTTATCATACGCCTAAGTTTGAATTTTGACAATTTTTTAAGATTAGATCATGAAAGATTTATTTTTCATAAATTCTCTTGTCTTACCGCGAATGACTGGACAAATAAAAAAATTAATCGAAGTGCGCGTAAATTAGCATGAACATTCCTAACTATTAAATTAAAAAAAATGAGAAAAAAATATTTATCTAGGTATAAAAATTGATTACATCATGAAAGCGAAGGCTTGATTAGTCTTCTTCCCTCAATACTCTGATTTTTATTATTTGGATATATTAAAAGAAAAATCGAAGTTTTGCCCTATCAATTTCTTTTTTATCTTATAATCTTGCTCTCTCTTTCTCTCCTATTCCTCATCCTATTTGTCAATACTACAGTATTAAACAAAAATTTGTTGATAGTCGCAATTATTTTTTTAATTTTTATAAATATTAGTTAGTTATAAATGTACTAATAATAAAAAGATTCGAATATGAATTGACCCTAAAAAGGGTTGGAACTTGGAGAGGAACTAAGAATTGGTGGGTGACGTGTCGAGCTCTTATGAGGTATCGACTACAGTGTCAGGTGACACAACGATTGACGGGAACCTCAAACAGTGCCCGTGCATTATCTACGGCGCTATGTACAGTAACTCAGCCACCGTGCTCACACGTGTCAAGATATGACAGTTGAAAATGACCTCCAGTGGCATCTTCAAATCTGTTGAGCGTGATGAAGGACCTGGGCACTGTGCAATAATGGCACAGCAAAATAGTTTGCTTCAATTACTATTTTACCCTACGGCCAGGATCTATTACACCAGTCAATGCTGCAGTGATTGACGTGAAAAAAAAGTGTCATGCTAGACATCTCAAATGATATTTAAATAGTTACGATCTAAATATATATTAATATTTGGATTAATAAATTCTATCAATTTTTTCAGTTAGATTTGTTCATTAGCAATCATCTAAAAAATAATATGGAAAAGGATGAGAGACATTAAAAAGTCAAGTGCCATCTTCTCTCCGACATTAAAATTATCAATAAAATTAACGTTTTTCTGTAACTAGTGTGCAGAAGCCGAAGCCTGAAACTATTGATTTTGTTCGCGATCTGGCCCATAACCTCGTAGTCCAAGAGCAAGAGTCAAGCCCAGCATGTTAGCCAGATGGGTATACCGTGGGTCTTACCCGCGGCCTGTCTTGGACCATAGGCTATTGTTGCCTACCCTGCTCTGTTAATTCAACCAAAACAAAAAGGGCCGTTGGTTCTAAATCCAATAGAGTTTGGATGCACCGGGCTTATTCTGAATTTTAATTATTTTCTATTCTTGACTTATTTACGAAAATGCTATTTTTAGTTGGATCCACGGGGTTGATTCTGAATTTTTATTATTTTTTAATCTTGAGCTATTTACGAAAATGCTATACTTTTATATATATATATATATATATATATATATACTTCTTTTTTTTCCCTACAAACAAGCTTTTAATTATATCAAGTTACTAGCGATATTGCTAAAAGCGAAACACTTGCGAAATTGCTTCAACACCAAGACTAGTACCATTTGTGAAATTGTTAAAAGCGTGTAGGATGCATCAGATATGTTTTGTATGTTAAATCCATCAATTGTACAAAAAGTGAGTCAATTGGTGAATTATATCAATATCAAATCTACCTGTCAAAAAAGTCAGTGAAATTATACACATGGAAGCTGTTAAAGCCTGTGAATCATATTGAGTGAGACGAATATTAATAGATTTGTGTTAAAAAAATATTTTAATTATATTCGATTCATTTATTAATTTGTGTCTAACGAGTCATATCATATCAAGTTCGTATTGTATATAAATCATGTATAACTAATATATAAACGAATCAAGTCGAAGCGTATATATTTTTTTGATTGATTTTAATAATATTTGATTCATTTATTAATTGTGTCATATCGGGTCTACTTATTTATTAAACAAGTTACAAAAAAATATCCAAATTCTTTAATTTTGTATCGTATTCGCATTGTATTACTAAGTTGTGTCTTGTGTGTTTACAAGCCTTACCGAAAGTTTTTACTGCCCAATAAAGAACAGTCAAATAAAATATTTATTAAGTCGCTCTACCACAAAGTCGTTGTAGTATAGTGGTAAGTATTCCCGCCTGTCACGCGGGTGACCCGGGTTCGATCCCCGGCAACGGCGTTAATGTTGTTTTTATTTTTCCCTCCCTATTGAAGTTCTTGTTTGGCTGTTGGACTATCTCTGTTCTGACTTGGGTTTGGATAGCTCGCTTCTCAAACTCCCAGACAACAAAGGTTTTATCAAAACCTAATTAAAACCATTGGGAAATTCACATCTTGTTACTAATAACCAAAGTGAAGGATTATACAAAGCGTTTAAGACTTGTTAAATTTAATACAATAATTTTTTATCCTAATCATTATTCATATTTGTCTTATTTAAGTTTTTTATATTTTTACCTCATCCATCTCATACTTTTAACTTCACATAATAAACATTTGTTCTAATTAAAGCTTTTATTTGTCATATTTAAGGTTGTTTATCTTTTTAATTATACAGTCAAGCTTCGATAAAAACAAATGATTTGACGAGTGTAAAAAGAAACTTCTATTTTTTTTACCATCGTATCACCACCATTATTCTCGCCATCACCGGCCACAACCAACAATGCTCCCACCATGGCCGCCAGACCCTTTCCCCACCACTACCACCATGTTCCTTACCACCTCCATGGGTGTTGTTGTCACCACCCCTTCATCACCTTTGCCACCACTACTACTCCCATCCCCTCACCCAAACACGGCCACCACCATCGTGGTCACCACCATCCTCACCCCACCGCCACCACCATCAAATAACACACATTTGGGAATAATATTAGCAAAGGTGAGATAAACCATCTAAACACACATTTTATGAAAATGCTCTTTATTTATTAAATGAAAATGATTTGCTTAAAAAAATTATTTCACAAAGTACATAATTATTGAATCTCAAAAGACATCCCAAACTCCATCTATCAAAGAAGCAAGTATAATTCTATCTCAAAGCAAAATCCACTGTCGTTTATTGTTTCCTGAAGTCAATAAAACATTGCATATAAAACCTGGAAATCCAAGCATTGATATGAAACAAGACATTAATATAAAGGATTGTACTTCTCATGACTAGTGAAAAATAAAAGCTGATACTGGTAATCAAAACTTTCACTTGGCCAAGCCATTGGCCAGTTTCGCAGAGCCTTTAGCCGGGTTGAGCTCATCCCAAGCTTCGATCCATGTCACCATGGCATCCGCAAGCTTGACAAAGTAAGGGTCTACCTTCCCAAGCTTCTCCTTAACCTGCTTGGACAGTTCAATGTAGCACTTCTGAACAGTAGTGCAGTCCTTTGGAAGGGTGGATGCTTGGAAGAATGGGATGATCTCTTCTTGCCAGAAGATGCCATTGTACTCTTTTTTCAGGTTCACAAATGGGTTGCTTGCTTTGCTGTGCCAGATATAGGGCAGCCCTGTCTTGATTCCGAGCCCCAAATGGTCACATATCACCTTAAAAATTAAACATTAATCATCCATAAGTTACTCAAATAACATGTTAATACGGTAATACCATCCGATTTATAAGTTTTCACCCCATTTTTTGGCAAATCAAAATGGGGATAGAAAGCGACACAGAAGGCATGTACCTTGGTACACCAGCCAGCCCACATATCATCGTATCGCCCAATTGGCTGACCATCTCCCATAAGCCCGAAGTACATTGCAGGGCCTATGAGCTCACGGTCAAATGCCAGATTCATCCCACACATAGGAAACAAGGTGCCCTTGGGGATTGTCAGTACCGCCTCCACATACCTTAAAGAAAAAGCTTATGGTGAACAAGCAAGCGTCATATGTACACAAATGAATCAATATTCATTAAGTTACAACAAACCTGGTGTTTCTTTCGCGAGGCTTGACAAGCTGTGTAGGTGCATCATAATCGGGGATATTGAGCCAGAGGCCATGAGAAACAGCGGTTGGGACACCCTCACGAAGACTGAAAGGATATCCACGAACGAAATCTGCACCCTCTGCGAAAGGGTCATAGAGGGTGTTGAAGAAAAGGGGAGTGGATGGGCAGAGAAGGTTCTTAATGTGCTGTTGAAGTGCATTTATGTCCTTGCCAGATGGGTCTTTCGCAACCTAATAAGGTTTGCGCAACATTAATAATTATAATTGGAGAACCCATAGTTGAAACTGCAACTGAACATACATTGTGCAAACATTAAAGAAAACTTTTAGACAAACACTCACGTATGTGTAGACAAACTGAATTTGTTTAGCACAGATCAAATATCGTTCAACAATTAGAATTTGAAGAAAAAAAGCAACCAAAACAGAGCACACATGCCCTTACAATAAAACAATTGTACTTATCCAGGAGCCAGATTAGCACACGAACATCATCTGTATTTAGAAACTCAGAACTCACCTACCAGGAGTGGAAAAGGAAAAGAATAAAGACCAAGTCACTAATAAATCACAAGAACATGCAATCAGGAATCCAAACCCTTGCTACTCTACAGCTGTTAATTACAGTAAAACCCTTTTTTTAACCAAAACAGCACAACTGTACAGATGCTTAGCCTGCAAAGTATTAACAATTAGTTTATCTTAAAAGAAATAGAGAAAAACGAATATAGATGGGACGAGAGAGAGAGAGAGAGAGAGAGTCTACACAATTAGAATAATAATAAATCACTAAAAGTCTACATAAAGATAAACCTCTAGTCATAAAGACTATTCGATGTATTCAACTTACAATTAATTATACGTTAGATAATCAAAAACACATCAGTTACTCAATACTGAAAAAAAAAACCCATAAATTCAGAAGAATTTTGTAAAACAAAGCAGATCAAATTGGCTGAAACAGTGAAATTACAAGAAGTTAGCGTATAAAGCAATTTGACCCAAAAAGAAACGGATGATAAATAGAGCAACAAAAAGTAAATTAATAGCTCAATAAATGCCTTTAAATCAGCCATATGACCAAATGGGAAAGGGTACGGTACAGCCGACGGTACCGTCGTACCAAAAATTGTAACTAGATTAAGTTGTAATGTTTTTTTAAGTGTAAGTTATAATTTTAAAAGACATGATTGATTATAAGAAATTGAAATCGATAGAAATTGAAATCGATACTAAGAATTCATGATTAATTATAAAAATGTATGTAGATCATGCTCTTCACCTTACAAAATTATAATTTTATCATAAAAATGGTAACCGTCCATGACCAAATATACAGCAAAAGTCAAAGGTGAACAGTCCTAGCTTTTGCAAACCCGACATTACAACTAATCAGACTTATTGATCCAAAAAGTATTTGTAAATAATCAAAGTTAATGAATCTAGGAAGCTAAAACAAGTGAAGATCTACATTTAACAACTAAGAAGAACCAAAATCCAGATAGAAGAACATCAAAATAAATAAAAAACTCTTCTTCTCCTTTCAAGTCACAAACATGTTCGATTTTATGCAGCAAAAAATTATAGCTAAAACGACCAGAATTCAGATATTAGAAAACAGAAACAGGGGGAAAAAAACACAGTTTAGATGATCTACTCACAAAGCAATCATCATCAATCGTAAAGATATACTTCTTCTTGGACACCATGTAGCCAAAACAACGACAAGCAGAGTCCTTGAAGGAGATACAAGAAGCCTTAGGACCCAAAATCTTGTTAATGTCATTGCGATTGTAAAGCTCATAGTCAAAGCCCTCAGGGACCTTGATAACCTTTGATGGGTCACCATCTTGAACAATGATCAGATGGTATGGCTGAAAGAATGGCCTCCACATCTCCAAGAAGTCCAGGTTTCGGATTGTGGGTATCACGATGTCAAGTTCATCCACCAGAAGAGGGGTTGATGAAGCCATGTTAGAGAGAGAGTTTGGGTTATGGTGGAAGAAGAGTGCTGTGTGGTGGGGGGTTATATATGTATTGTGTATACGTGGAAGCACGTGCTTGAGCGATGGGATCGGCAGGTATGGGGGACTGTATGGGTTGGGACTTTTTCAATGAAGACGTCGCCGGTGTTTTTGGGACACCTTGTCTTTGCGTTTATTATACATATTAGGGCTGTTTTCCTCTAATCCAAATTTGATCCCATATATATTCTTTATTTCTTTTAAAGATACATTACTTATTATAAATTGGTCGTTCACCCATAAAATTTTTATTTTATAACAATCGAATGATTTATCGCGCTTGTATATTAGAAGGGATCCAGACAGTATTTCTCATATGGAATAAACTCATTAATTGTAATGTATCACGAAAAGGGATATTAAGAATTTGTGGAAATACAGCATTGGGAAAAGGGCAAAACTAAAGAAGGGAGGTAGTATTATCGTTGAAAAACAAATCTTCGTTGAAATATTAGGCAATGTTATTTATTGATCCGAACCAAAGAAGTAAAGAGAATATTGAATATGAAGAACAGGGTCATATCCAAAAATGTAGGAATATTCCAATTTAATGACATTTTTAGTAAATTAAATTTGGTTTTGTGAAAAAACACATGTTTTTCACAAGGTGATTCTAAGACACCCCAAAAATTGGATTAAAATTTATTACAATATCGAATTATTTCAATTTCCAAGTTTGGCTCAACTTTAAGTTAGGTACATTCCCTCCCTCTAAGTGAGACTCATTAAGTTCGAGTACATCCTCTGTCAATGCATGCACAATTCGAAGGAATTAATGTAATACAATAATAGATTTGGATCCAGATCTCCAAACGTATTTTAAAAAATAAAATATATATATATATATATATATCAAAAGAATATCAATTAAACTCTAATAACCAAATCGAGAATTGAATTGAAAAGAACAAATATAAATTGACGAAGTGGTTTTGAAATTATCTACGTCAAGTCAAGATCTCGGCCCAAGACTCACTACGGCCCTAACTCATTGTCGTTTTTTTTTTTTCCGTTATAAGTCGACTAGATCTAATTTTATGCATTTTAAAATATGTTAAATCTAAAAATCATTTGAAATAGACCATATCCATCACCATACATAATTTAATAATAATAACAAAATAAAAGAATAATAAGAAGCTAAAAGGGGGCTTTTTGAAGTTGAAAATCTGTTTATGAAGAGAAAATTAGGGGGAGAAAGCGTGTTGATGAGAAAGGTACGTGTGTATAGTTATTGGTGTTCTTCTTTTGCCTTAATCAATGGGGGAGGTACCACTTTTAGGTCAAAAATTGCCCAACTTTTAACGAAAAGGCTTTGTGGTCAAGTTATAATCAAAACACCTTTAATGAGACAAGTAATATTATTATTATAATAATTCCAAAATACATCTAATTTATTCTTTCACCAAAAAAAAATATATATTAATATGTAATCGAAGAGATTCGAACCCAGTCATATTTTGTGTTGTTAGTTCGTTAACTACTCAATCGAGACCATTTAGTATTTTTATAAATATTGAAGCTATATTTCAAAGTGAGTTTCATTTTAACATATATTTGGTCTTAATAAAAAGCCAAAAAATATGTAAATGACACTTGTAAATATAAAAAACAATTTGCATGTCAGAACAAATTGACAACTATTCAGCTGTAATAGGAATAGATACAGCAGCAGGTTGACTTACGATCCAGGCAAAGGCAAAGGCAAAGGCAAAGGCAAGCACATGGGGTTGCAAGAGCCTAGAACGTGTTCGACACTTTTACCAGCCCAGAAGTTAGCTCAGATGCACGTTTGACCATTTTTCAGACAGCGTTTACTTGTGTGGGTTGGCATTCCTCCACTCTAATAATCCCACGGTGCCTCAACATCGGCATCGGCACTCTTTTAGATAAAATCAAATTTGGTGTCTTTAAAAGGTATTAGGTGACAGTGTCATGTAGTGTTTATAGTCAATTAAAAATTGTAAGACGTAAATTTAATTTTTTTTATAATTTCACAAGTTACAATAATTAATTAAAAATATATAATATTTTATAGGTAATGTGTGAGTAGTGAAAATTTTCTTCTTTTAGGTTGCTATTTTCTGTGTTATTTTGACTATGAATTCCCATTTGCCCCTCTTTGATTTGCGTGCAATTCCTTTGTTGCATTAGTTGACACTTTTTTTTTTTTTTTTCAAAATTTTATTTTGGGTAAAATGATAGTTTGTCTTGGAAGATCTTAACTAAACTGTGGTGGTATAAACTTATGGAATCAAATTGTGCTTAGTAGGGCTATCCCACGTCGCATAGTCTTTGGGTGTGTGCGGGGGTTATATGACCGATATGACATTTCTATTTTTAAATAGAAATGTTATAGTTTGTTTCTGATAAAAAAAAAATATGTGTGTTCAAGGTAGATTCCATAAAGACCGAGCTGCATCCCTCTTAGGCCTGTCCATGAACGGGGAGAGTTTTGGCCTTGGGTGGTGATAGGCTGGGGTTATCCCACATTAGATAATCTTTGGGTGTGTGTGGGTTATATGACGACTATGACATTTTTACCTTTAAATAAAAATGTTGTAGTTTGTCGCTGTTAAAAAAAAAAAAAATTATGCTTAGTTGAGATGTGATTAAATGATAGTGTGGCTCAAACGGGCTTGGGATAGAGGACCCACGCTATAGGTTAGGCCGAGCTATAACCCATTTGTTGTGGGCTACTACGGGTATTATGCATTGACCCACCCTATAAACAAACCCATGACCCTTCTTAAATTTTGAAATACCTCTCTCTCTCTCTCTCTCTCTCTCTCTCTCTCTCAACTTTGACAGAACATAAATAAGATTATGTATGGAGATAATGTGTTACCTATAAAATCATAAACATTCGGGAAATTAGCTGTCAATATTGCTTGGAATGGGCTAAGGCATGCTAGTGGACTTACTAGTACTAATTGGGGCTTCATAATCTGGGACTGTGATGGTGACTTGATTTCAGAATCATGACAATATTTCAAATCCGGAAATCAATTCCAAATTGTAAATTTAGTAAGCTTTGAGCTCCAAGTTGTTTCCATTTTTTTTTTTTAAAGTAACGTTTTAGCCTTCATCCTTAGCCTTTCCCAACCTCAATAGAATAAATGGTTGTTAGGACACCACATTTGAGAATCTCATATCCAATAATTAAAAAGGTAATATATCATGAATAAATATATTAAACATGTGATATGAGATATACATATCAAGTTGTATTTAAATAGGTTGTTATGAAAATATTTTATCATTATAAATAGGGTTAAGTATGATGTAATCAATTATTAGATGACTAGTTTTCTAGCGAGTAATATATCGATGTAAGTTTTTGATATTTTGATATAAATACGGTGTACCAAGGTAAGTACGTTATTGTCAAAGAGTCCCTGTTTTGAGTCCTTGGACCACCTACCTAGAGTGTAAGCCCTACGATTTACCTAGTGCATGTGGTTAGTGGGGTATTGCACAAGGTCCGAAGGTTATTTTTTGTGGCTACGCTGGGCGTTGAGTCCGACAATAAACTGTTCGAGTTTTCTCTGAATTACCAAAAAAAAAAATTGGTATATGTTGTATCGAATCATGTTATATTTTTGTATTTTGTTTTATTGTTTTTCCTATCTTGCATTTGTATCTCTCAACTTACGATATTAGTGTTGATTATCCATAGTGCAAAAATAAAAAAGTGGTATCAAAGTTAGAATGGTGATCCTAGTAGAACAATCATGATTAAATTGACGATCTTGGTGCAACAATTAAAATAAGTTGTTGACGATCCAACAATCAAATTAGTATTCATGTTGTAGAAAACTCCATTGACACGTGATGTGGCGATTGATTTCGTCATGCATACATTAAGGACGCAATCTTGGAATTTTTTGATAAAGTGTTTGGATCCATAAGAAAAAAAAGGAATATTTTCAGAATCAATGGTTGATGATTTTGGTTGAATTCTTCAAGTTATACAAATTTTCGATATTAAAGATGTTTCTTTGAGATTTGAACTCTCGAGTTGTAGCCTTTTAAGATAATGGTTTGAGATATATTGGGCGGACATCCACCTAAATATCAATTTGGTGTCTCATAAGTTTATGGGGTCACTAGGCTTCTCACCTTAATAGATAAGGAAAGTAATTGACCATTGAATTCTCCAAATAATAGGTAAGAAGCGGGTAAAGACGCATATGCAATGTAATTGAGACAATTTTTTGAAAGACAGATAGGATTGTGGCAACTCATAAGAATGACTTTGCACATGGTGTGATTTTGCATGCGGTGCTTGAAGAACTCAGTGGATCAAAATTAAGAAGGAGCTGAATTTGATGTAGTTTACACATGAGAAGGAGTTTGTTGAGACACAACGTGAGAATACCACATCAGATTAGAAAGAAATTGGAAAAGTGTAATATTCCTTGAATAGGTTTATTAGTGATCAAATCAATAGTAAACAAATTTCAAGAGTCTTAATATAAGATGAATAGATATATTAAACATGTGACATGAGATACAAGATCAAGTTAAAAATTGAATAGGTTTTAGTAAAACAATGTTATCCCTATAAATAGAGATTTAGTATGATGTAATCAATTAACAGATAACTAACTTTTTAGTGAATAATACATCGATGTATATTTTTTATCCGTGGATATAAATATAGTGCACCAAAGTAGGTACGTTGTATCAAACTACATTATTTTTTTGTATTTTATTTTATTATTTTTTCTATTTTAAATTCTTATATCTCAACTTATGATATTGGTGTTAATTATCAAGTGGAATCCAACACATAATTTTGAAAAGTTAATGCCAATTTTATAAATCATGAAAAAGAATTTTAAAAACTTGAGAGAGGCCATGCCCATTGATCAAAGCATGGTTTCACCCATGGAGTCGGCCTCAAATACATGTAATCATCTACTTCAGTTTGTCCTGGACTAATCTCTAAAGGACTATTTGTTAAGTGGAATTTGGGGAGCTTAGGAAGATGGGTCAGAGAAAAATAGTTCAAATGACATACAAAACTCATATTTGGTCAAAATTTGAAGTCTGGGTTACAAAGTCCAGTCCGTTATTGGCCCAGACTTTGAACCCTAAATCATGAGTTTCATCAAATCCATGAAAGTCGGGTTGGGAAGGGGGAGTTTCGGATGAAGGTTAACGGATTCAGGATATAAAAAAATAATTATACCTCATACGTATACAAATATAAATTTGAATTAAATTGGTGAAGGGGCAACACAGTTATTTACATATAAATATATTGCCATAGTAGTAATATATCTATAGATATACTAAACATGAGTATGAACTGAATTTAATATTGAATCTCATTTTTGTAAAGAATGATTTGAAAAAATCAATTCAAACACTTTTAAACAATTCATCCAAACAAGCTCCAAATCCCTTGATTATCCATGTGGGATAAGGTCCATAAGAACCAGCATTTTCAGATTTTTTTCTTTTTGCTTATTAAAAAAAGGTGAGGATAAATTTTGTAAGGGATGAAACCCTCCACTCAGGATTTCGGCTTGACCTCCGCGCGTTCGGGAGTACCCTTTACCCCTCTTCCTGAGCCGGAGCCCTGGCCTAGCTTAATGTGGGGAGGGCGCACCGTATCCCACATCGGAAGAGAGTCGTCTCCCCCCCTCGCATATAAGCCCTTGCACTCAAAGGAGGAGGTACCCACTAGGCACCTGATCAGGTACTAGTGGGTACCTCCTCCTTTGAGTGCAAGGGCTTATATGCGAGGGGGGGAGACGACTCTCTTCCGATGTGGGATACGGTGCGCCCTCCCCACATTAGGCTAGGCCAGGGCTCCGGCTCAGGAAGAGGGGTAAAGGGTACTCCCGAACGCGCGGAGGTCAAGCCGAAATCCTGAGTGGAGGGTTTCATCCCTTACAAAAAGGCGCCTTTTTGTAAGGGGTAGAACCCTCCACTCAGGATTTCGGCTTGACCTGGGTTAACCCACGTGGGCGACCCCCCAGTAGCATTTACCTCTCTTCGCCAATAGGACCCTTTCCTAAGGCAATCCCACATCGGAAGAGAGTCGTCTTCCCCCCTCGCATATAAGCCCTTGCACTCAAAGGAGGAGGTACCCACTAGCGACCTGATCAGGTACTAGTGGGTACCTCCTCCTTTGAGTGCAAGGGCTTATATGCGAGGGGGGGAGACGACTCTTTTCCGATGTTACTCCCGAACGCGCGGAGGTCAAGCCGAAATCCTGAGTGGAGGGTTTCATCCCTTACAAATTTCTTTTTGCTTATTCAGAAAAGGTGCGAGGATAAATTAGAGCGCCAAAAGACCACTCCAATAAATCTTTATGGGTGGGATCATGAGACTATGAGTATATCCACTACTAATCTCAAAAACGAATATAATTAGATTAGAATAGCGGTCGACCACCGGCCCACCCAACGTAAATTATGACTTGAACTTCCATCCTGGAAGTTGGACCGGTACCCAACATTTTCAGAATAGGGTACGTATATATATACCTCCAATTTTGACAGAAATTTGAACCTCATGCCGCCCATTTGGGAGGTGAGACACCGCCTCCTATCCACATAAACCCATGATGATTTCAAACCTTTTGTTTGCCCAACCGACGTTACTACTCCGAAATCATAAAACTACGCCTAGTTTTCAATTGTCTGGATTCATTCAATCCATTGTCGCTCTTCGTCGCGCAGATGAGGAAAATTTTCACCCACATGATAGAGATGGGATTGTGGACTTCGCTCTGTCCCGGTCGGAGGAGGTAAAGTGTTCTTAACAACTCTGCTCTTATTTACCTATTCAATGCAATTTCGGAGGGTTTTTTAAACCTATAATTGGATTTATCACTAATTTCTCCCAAGATTTTAGTGTTTTTTTTCGTTTGTTTCCCATAATCTTCTATCCAAGAAATCTGTTTCTTCAAGCAGTGATGTGAATGTGATCAATCACACCTATGTGTAGATTTATCATGTATGAGATTTGAAGTTTGCTGCTTAATTTTTGTTGAACCCTGCTTGCTGCGAAGGATTTTGTCAATTTCATTCAAAATTCTAGTGTGTTAGCAGAACATTTTGGTACATCAATGTTCCTATTAATATGTTATATGTCTTCTGTACAATCATGGGGTTAGTCAGTAAGTTGAAACCCTAAGGTGCAGTCCATTTGGTGCTTCAACTCTTGGAAATTTCATCAGCTTTTCTCCCCCTACTTCTTCCCATCTGCATTCAAGAAAAGCATTCAAACATTTGAGCCGACCACAAAACTTTAGGACAAGACTTGTTGGGTTGAGAATATTGAAACATTTGGCAGGGGAGGAATTTGGTACCTGTATCTAGTTACAAAGTAATGAAGGAATGTAGAAATTTCTGCTACTCCCAGTTCTTTCCCTGGACACTGCCTACTGCCTCCTCCAAATATGAAATTGTAGTTCTGTGTCTCCAAGCTTTTATCCTGCATTTAGCAAACACTACATTAGAATCTTAAAATTTGTACCAGTAACTGAACCTACTTTAATTTGGCAAAAGAAGAATTAATTATAATTGTGGTCACAAACCAGCCATCTCCATGGATTGAAGGAAAAAGGCTCAGGGTATAGACGTGGATCATAGTTGATCTCTCTCGTATACACATATATCCTCCATCCTTGGGGAATAACATATCCTGAAAAAAAATAGAGAATTGATGAGGTCATGATATTTAAAGACAGGAAAGATCATACGAATTAAATTAGAGAATTAGACTATGTTATTGCGTTAAACCTTTATATTGTCAAAACCTTTGAGCACAAGATAATAGGAATTAAAGCTTCAATTCTACATAAATTTACGATTCGGCTTCCTCATGAAAAAATAATAACGAAAGAAAATTAACCTTCATCTATCTTCAGAAAAAGTAGAGACATAATTTTTCATTAAATAAGACATGGGTCAAATCCGATGACAAGCTGGAATGGTAAGTATGCCATGTGTATCATGATAGAGTGGGGCCATTGGAAGAAGATGATCTCATAAATATACACACTTTATTAATGTTATATATATATTTGTTGAAAAAGTTCCTAACTGATAGGTTGTCTAGCACAGCTCCTTGAGCCCCTAAAGACTAAAAAAGCAAGAACCAATAAACGCACTGTGTATCTTTTCTTCTATTTTATTCAAATGAACAACCTGGGCACTAATCCACTCACCATTCAGTTCCATATCTTGAGTTGTTTTTCTCAAGACACCATTAACAATTGTAGCTAATCTTGAGGTCTCATTGATCACCTGCACCATAAACATCATGGTTATTCACAGTTGCAAAACTTCAATTTTTTGACATTCTATATGTAAGAACAAAAGTTTTCTACTACTTACAGCCCGGGTGAAACACAAAGATTTGAAGTCATTCCAGTCAATTGGATCCTCTGGCCTTTTCCTTTCTCTAATTGCCAAGTGTTCATTCTATAAAATTTATTCAATGAAGCTATAATTAGAGGCATCAAAATATGATAATAATACCATTTGAAATATTGAAATTTCTTACTTACTCTGAGTTCTTCAAGAACTCTTGGATGATCACAAAGATACTTGACAGCCATCATTGAAGTAGTTGAAACAGTCTCATACCCAGAATACAAAATTGTTATGATTTGGTCCATTATCTGTTCATCAGTTAGTTTATGTCTATTTTCATCACCATTCAATAGTAAACCAAGCATGTCATGTTGGATTTCTTTGGAAGCTCTTCTCTCCTCAATAAGTTGTCTCAACATGCTGATAATGTTCTTCCTTGCCTGTAACATATTTCACTTAATCAATATACAGGCTCACCTCATTTTAGACTAGAAACAGACATATATTTAGGCAATATACCTGACACCCCCTATTATAATTTGTGCTAGGAAGGTTGATAGGCAGTGAAAGGGTTCCTAATACAAGCTTAAAGAATTCACTCATGAATGTCTGAGTTATTGATCCAGATTCTATACCAGCAATTTGCTTGAGAGATGATAGGAATGCCATCTGGACAAAAATAGGTTACACTCAATAGATTAAAACAGAGAGCTTACGAAATATAACTTAAACAAAATTATATAAGAATGTGTTTTTGATTACTCCACACAAACCTCTTTGGTTTTTTCTTGAATGTCAATGACTTTGTTATCCCAATTGCATAGGTGGGATCTCATGAATTCATCTATTTTTGGCAGAAGTTGGTCTCTGATCATGGTGGGGCTAACAAGAGCAAGCAAGGACCCTCTCATGGTTTTGTGAGTGGAACCATGAACAGCTGCAATGTTGCATTCCCCTAAGATGTCAAGCATGGACTGTGGATAGCCAGGTACAAGTCCTTTTGCTTCATTCATGAGGATATATCTGTTGAGCTCTGGATCCATGGAAACAATGGTAGGGCAGCCTAGTAGGTGGGATTTGAAGAAACTTCCATATCTGTTTTAGTAATTTCATTAGAAGATTACACCAAATTAGATTATAAACTACTAGAATGTTTAGTCATAGATCATTAAGTTATAAATCCAATGTTACTAGAAAACCAAGCACAAGTTTTTTTAAGCCAGAACTACCCAAAGCCCCACTTAAAATCACATATCAGTAGAGCATGGAAAAGGATAGAAATTCTATTAGCTGATGCAATATAGCACTTTATCCGTAATTAAGCACCTATTAGAGAAACAGCGCCATAACCAATTACATACCATTACAAACAAAAGCCTTCTAGACAAGAAGAGAGAGAAGAGACCCTGTAACACGAATCTACCCAAAGCAAAACTCAAAAGAAGGCTAACCTTGCTCTCTGGTTTTTCATGAAGCCTGGACCTTGCTTTAGAAACTCAGTAGTCTCCCCAAAAACAGGCCAACCCATGGTACCGGGAGGCAAACCTTTCTTCCTGTACCTCAGCTCATTCCATCTCAAAAGAGCAGTGCTGCAGATACAGAGCACCAAAACCATCCCAAAAATCACCAAGAACACAGCCATTGATGCTCCCTAGAAGCTTCAACCACTTCAGAGAGAGATGTAAATGGTATGGCTTGCTCTAGTTTAAGCTAGTCTGACGTGTGTGTATATGTAGGCCTGTGAACTCCCATATGTGAAGAGAGAGAAAGGCCTAACACGCCAAAACTATGCACCCGGAGGGATCCTTGTCTTAAAACCCTTGTTACGAAAGCACACCCAAGAAGATTAAATGACTTTATTGTTTGTTACTTTTTACTGGACATGCAAAACGGTTCGCTTGAAAGTAGAAACAGCTAGTCAAGACCTCAAGAACCTTTTCATCAGTAAAAGAAATTTTTTTCAAGTGATTTATTCACTTACAGCTAAAGAGTTGTTTTTTGAACCAAAGACAATACTACACATTTTAGACATGAACTTTAAGATTCAATTATGGTACTATATCTCTTTTTTTTGAACTAATGACAATACGACACATGTAAAGTTATATCTTTATTACTTCACTTTATTTTCTTATTTTCATGATCCATGACTATAACTGAATTACTTAAAAATTTAGTATTACAAATTATTTTTGGATATGATACCGAAACATTTTATCGACATAGTTTTATAATAGACGTTTTGAGAATTGATTTTGGTTTATGGTGAAGCACAGACAAAGAGGACATAACTAATGAGAATTTATTTAGGCAGCTAATGGGAGTTTATATAGGCACAATTGAAGAGGCACATGCATACCACCTCATTAGGGAAGAAGAAAAACACTCTTTAAACTCAGTGGTTCACATGTCTATCAATTGGATCTGTCCATGGAATTACAAACAATACTAGATGACAGATTCTTGGTTACCCCTCGAATAAGTGAAGAGAGAGAGAGAGAGAGAGAGAGAGGTTGTTGTTTCAACCTAGACTGCCCCTTGTAGTAGTCTGAACCTGTGGACTGTAATTCCTAGAAAATCATCCCGCATTTGACTTCTGGTGTGTTTTGCCTAGTGAAACTTAATTGAATGATTTACGAGATTGCCCATTATTATTTTATAATATCCCTACATTTAAAATCTTTTTGGATCCCTTATTTGAGAATGATAGAAAAGACTTGCCTTTTTCTTTAGGTAATGTCAACCCACTTAGAATAATCATTGGACTCTTCCTGGAGGATGGCATAAACTCAGTTTGCTACTAATCACTTCAATTAACTTAGAATGACAAAGTGATTTGAAACTTTAAATGCCAAAGCTACCCTCCAAACCCATAATACAGGAAGATGGCTTTCAAGAAAATCTTCTCAAGTAAAGATCCTCTCTGGGTTTTATTTCTATAGTAAGATGTTTGATTAACAAGGTTTCATAGCTCATTCTTATGCCCATATTTCTTTCTCTTCACCTGCGTTTGTTACTTGTATAGTAGAAAAAAATCATCATGATGGTATGATTTTGTAGATCCAGCAAAAGCCAACCATTTTTTCTCCGCTCCACCATTGGGCAATATGTGTATGATTATCATGGTGCAGTAGCTATTTTTCAAATTCAAAAACCTACAATTTTAAGTGGGTTTGGGAGACTCAAAATTTAGCAGCAGCCCCTCAGCATACTAATTGCTGTGATATAACCAATTATGCGTCAAGAACATTGAGTCTTCTCAATAACATTGATTCTTACCAAACTTACAAAACATAAATACAAGACTACCTTAGAGAATTGACTTATTTCCAACATAATTGAAACTGGGACATGATTGTGCTGGTATGAACTATGGCAAAAAAGAGGGCGGGCTGTTAGAAGTTCAGCCTGGTTTTTTGGGTGTCGTAGGGGAGGGTACATCGTAGAACCAGTACAACTTGGATCAGTACAAACAATATTTTCAGCTTGAGTGTCGGTAGGAGAATCGCAATAACTTTTTAAAGAAAATTCTGATTGATGCACCGTTTTTACAGATTAATGTGGGCTTCAATTTGGATTGCCCGGAATTCGATCACAAAGGTGTGCCACCAAACAAAATCATAAAAAGAGAGAAATACCGTACAAAAGTTGTACATTTCTGCTGAGCCGTCTCATCAGTTGGTAAGATTACAAGTATTAATAATAAGACAGGGATTGTCTTGTAATTTCTCATAATCTCTTGTGTTCTCATTTTGTTTTTTGACTTTTGGTGAAGCTGATGGGTTGTCTTGATCTGGCACAAAAAGGTGGACTGGATGGTGACTTGAAGAGAAGTGTGAATCCATAGGGAGATCCTTGGAAAGGGATTTGACACAAAAGATGCAGTACCCTTTTTGCAATTTGATGAAAATAATCAAAATTCATTTAAACTTAGTAACTTACTGTTCATCAAAGCATATGGTAGATATTCATCCGTGTGGAAAATGAAGAGGGATAGACTTGGACTAACGACAGAGAGAAAGACTTTAGCAAAAGTCTTGATGTTGAGTGCCAAATTGTCCCAATCTGAGTTTTGGAAGGAATACTCAAGTAAGTGCTAATTCACCATTTATCAACCATATTTTCAGAGTTTTTCTTACCTACGTTATGTGTTAGTTATATGTATATGAGGTATAATTTGAACGGGTCAATTCAAATTCAACATCAAATATTCACTATTTATCCTGAGATTTTAAACCGTAATTGTCTGGGTAAGTTCAATTTAAGTTAAAAAATTCAAGCATAAATTAGGGATATATTGCCGACATAGGAGATTGGATACTGGTTCAAACATATCAAAGAACAAAATGAATATTGTGCGAGATTTATTACGTTTCAGGGGTGGGGTTTGTGGGGAAGAGCAAGAAGATGGATTGGGATGTATGAATGATAGCAATTAGGCATATCAGAGATATGTGCACGGAACTGCAGAAAAAAACGCAAACAGTAGGCTCGAAAAAAGGTTGCATATAATTATTTGGAGAGAGAGAGAGAGAGAGAGAGAGAGAGGAATGTCTACCCGCACGCACACACGCAGCCGATGGCCCTTAGCTTCATTAAATTTGTGATGTACATTCAAAACTCCAGAGTTGCACGAGGGCCTCTTTTTTGTTCTCTTGTGCTTTATACCTCTATTGGTTTCTCTCTCTCTCTCTCTTTCCCCATTATTTCGACCTCACTATTTATTGACAGCCAATGCATTAATGTACATCTACACACACACATACACACACATGTGTGCATATATATATATTATATATATATATATATGGGATGATGATACTGTATTTTCTTTTTCTAAAAAATAAAAAATCTGATATTGCCATTTTAATTTCTCAAAAACTTTGTAATGTGTATCAAAACCTATATGTCCCTAGGTCGAGGAGTAAACCTAGATGTCCAATCTTGGCAATCCTTTGGGTTTTAGTCTTGACGTTAATAACCTATTTTTGACTAGACCGATGAGAGAATCAGTCAAGGTGTGCATAAGTTAGTCGACACACCCCTGATTGTTGAATAAAAAAAAAATGTCTTTGGATTTTTTGATTGTGTAGACACCGTAAGGATGTCTTGTACTCTAAAATATTAACTGATGGTAAGTTATTCTATGAAAAATTAATTATCTCACATAAAAAAAAAAAAAATTTGTTGTCTGGCTGTTGGACACATTACTGCACTTCGGAGAATTTTTAATCTTATAGAGGACAATGTATATATAGATATTTACGGGTTCATTTTATGCATATTGCATGCATAAATGTCTATTCTTTTCAATAGTCTCTGTTGATAGGTCGTAGTAGTATTAATCAATTAAAGGTTGGAAGAGGATAATTCCAAGTGATACATGCTCATCCAGGACACAATTCATGACTATTAGAATCTGGGATCATTGGTCAATGATTTGTGGTGCTGTCTAAATTCTATCCTCAAGTATATGGTGAGATATATGGCTGTCTATCCGACCTTGTGGAATATTTAGATTGGTTTTAGTCTATATTTGAGGCCTATCAATAAAATCATTGATATTTGATGAAAGTAACACATATCAACTCACATCTGATTGCATGTTACTCTCATTTGTCTTCATTGTTTTTCTATTTCCTTTTTGGTTAAAATTATTGGTAATATATAGTTTCTAAAAAGGAAAATTTCAACCGCACCCTCTTTAATTTATTATATCTTCAAAGACATTCTTTCCATTTTTTGAATTTTCACTTACACTTCCTGTCAGATTAAAAATATTAATTAAAATGTAATTTTATTAAATTGACCATGATATATTTAAGGATAAAATTTATCCACACCACCTCTAGATAAGCATATTTTTAACGAGACTCCCTCTGTTTTCTAAATTTTTATTTTTTAGTAAAATTTGATTTTAGCTAATTAAATTTTTTTTACATATTAAAATTTGAAGAGATTAAAAATTATATTTTTTATGTATTAAAATTTGGGCTAATTAAAATTATATTTGAGTCAATTAAAAATTATTTTTAAAAAATTCAAATTAAATTTTAATTAACTCACATTGAATTTTAATTAGCTTAAATTTTAATACATAAAAAAATATAAATTTTAATAAATTGAATTTTAATTGACACAAATTTTAATAAGTAAAAAAATATAATTTTTAATAAACTTGAAAGCGAATTTTAATTGGCGCTAATAACTCGGGTAGAGTTCAAATTGGTTCAAATTTTAATAAGTAAATTTTAATAAGCTTGAATTTTAATATGTTAAAAAAAATAAATTTTAATTGGTTTGAATTTTAATAAAATTTTATATAGAAAAATTACTTAAGCTTTATGTAGAGACAATTTTTGTATTTTAGAAGAATTTTTTTTTGTTAGAAATGGTAGAGGGCGTTAGTGATATTTAAATATAAATTAGAAGGGGTGTCAATGATATTTTTTATAATAGACAGAGTGTTTTTAAAGATATAGTAAACTATGAGATATGTGACTGGAATTTTTATTTTGTAAAAGGAAAGATTAGTAATACAAGAAAAAGAATAGTAAGATAAACATTACGTGTCAGAGAGAGAGAAGGTGGGCTGGATGGGTAGGGCTATAGGATGATTGGGTGCACGTGTGGTACATGGATCCACGTGCATCCGTTTTAATGAGTGGATTGATTGACTTTTGTCTCTTTGCCTATTCTCTTCCCCATCCCCCTCTTGATATTTGTGTTGGGGTTAATGCTATTTTTAATCCATAAACTATGCAAGTTT